GTTGCCCACAGGCCTTGGCCAAAGCCCATCCTACCAACTTCAAAGCCACTCAAGTCAGGTGGGCCTTCTTGTCTGCACTTCCTGGCTACCCCCTGCCCTCTGTTCTACCAGAGTGAATAAGTGAAATCACTCAGTCGTGTCCGACCCTTTGCGACCCCATGGAGCCTACCAGTCTCCTCCGTCCATGGGATTTTCCAGGCAAGAATACTGGAGTGGGTTGCCCCTCTAATTGCTCTGGTCCCAGCCGGTTAACCCAGCACAGTCTCCTGGTTCAGTCAGCTGACCAATAGCCCAGATTCCCGCAGCCTGTAACCTAACACACGCACAGGTTCCGAGGGTCAGAATGGGCTGTTTCTGGGGCTGCTATTTTGTATACCAGGCCCTCTGACTCAGCACTTCCTCTTCCAGGCAATCACCTGATAGAAACTCTTAGATGCTGAAAGGGTAACAGGCAGGAAGGCCAGAGGTCCCCAAGCGGCAAGAGGAAATAAACTGGAAGTGTCAGACATTTTTCCTTCACTACACAGAATTAATCAGCAATACGTGAACCGTGAACTTCTAGATGTTCAAGCTGGTTTTAGAAAAGGCAGAGGAACCAGAGATCAAATTGCCAATATCCGCTGGATCATCGAAAAAGCAAGAGAGTTCCGAAAAACATCTATTTCTGCTTTATTGACTACGCCAAAGCCTTCGACTGTGTGGATCACAATAAACTGTGGAAAATTCTGAAAGAGATGGGAATACCAGACCACCTGACCTGCCTCTTGAGAAACCTGTATGCAGGTCAGGAACCAACAGTTAGAACTGGACATGGAACAACAGACTGGTTCCAAATAGCAAAAGGAGTACGTCAAGGCTGTATGTTGCCACCCTGCTTATTTAACTTATATGCAGAGTCCATCATGAGAAAGGCTGGGCTGGAAGAAGCACAAGCTGGAATCAAGATTGCCGGGAGAAATATCAATAACCTCATATATGCAGATGACACCACCCTTATGGCAGAAAGTGAAGAGGAACTAAAAAGCCTCTTGATGAAAGTGAAAGAAGAGAGTGAAAAAGTTGGCTTAAAGCTTAACATTCAGAAAACTAAGATCATGGCATCTGGTCCCATCACCTCATGGGAAATAGATGGGGAGACAGCGGGAACAGTGTCAGACTTCATTTTTGGGGGCTCCAAAATCACTGCAGATGGTGATTGCAGCCATGAAATTAAAAGACGCTTACTCCTTGGAAGGAAAGTTATAACCAACCTAGATAGCATATTAAAAAGCAGAGACATTACTTTGCCAACAAAGGTCCGTCTAGTCAAGGCTATGGTTTTTCCAGCGGCCATGTATGGATGTGAGAGTTGGACTGTGAAGAAAGCTGAGCACCGAAAAATTGATGCTTTTGAACTGTGGTGTTGGAGAAGACTGTTGAGAGTCCCTTGGACTGCAAAGAGATCCAACCAGTCCATCCTAAAGGAGATCAGTCCTGGGTATTCATTGGAAGGACTGATGCTGAAGCTGAAACTCCAGTACTTTGGCCACCTCATGCGAAGAGTTGAGTCATTGGAAAAGACCTTGATGCTGGGAGGGACTGGGGGCAGGAGGAGAAGGGGACGACAGAGGATGAGATGGCTGGATGGCATCACCAACTCGATGGGCATGAGTTTGAGTAAACTCCGGGAATTGGTGATGGACAGGGAGGCCTGGCGTGCTGCGATTCACGGGGTCACAAAGAGTCGGACACAACTGAGCGACTGAACTGAACTGAACACAGAATTAAAAGGAGCTTCTTTTAATTCTGTGTAGAAGATACCTGGTTCTGCCTTGAGCTAACCAATGCGTTTTTCTCATGCAAATGTTTTTCTTAAGCTATGTTAATGAAACTATGTATTTCCTACGGAATTTGCCTTTCTTCAAAATGGTTCCACCTAACTTTTTTTCCCTTTTCTCAAACCTTGGGTTGATAATGCCTCCACAAACCAGTATTTCTGTCAGTTGTTTTACGGTGGGGGCAGGGGTGGGGAATGACACACCTCGAGCCATTCTATCTCAAAAATGCATATTGTGGGAGAGGGGCTTGGTGAAACACCCTCAGCCTTGAGGTGTCTCTCTTATCTGATTAATACCTTGCTAAAAACTAGAAAGGGGTACTCTTTCTGTCCCCTTCTGACATCTGTGTCAGAAGCTCTCCCTATCTCTATTAAACTTTAATAAAACTTTGCTACACAAACAGCTCCAAGTAGTCAAGCCTTGTCTCTGACCTCGGATGGAAATCCTCTCCTCCGGAGGACAAAAATCCCACTGTTAACACACGACTCACAGCAGCAACCTTTCAATGCTGTACTCCTTTCCTGAGGCTGCCACAGCAAAGTGCCACAGACTGGCTGTCTTAGAACAAGACAACGGTATTATCTCATAGTTCTGGAGGCCAGAAGCCTGATATCAAGATGCCAGCTCCCTCTGATGTGCTGAGCAAGGCCCCCATACAGACTCCTCTCCTTGGTCCTGGTTCCCAGGCTCATGGCAATGCAGCTCCAGTCCGTGTTGTTAGGCGAACCACTGACCGAAACCACCGACCCTCAGCAGGCACCACAGTAACCACTTGCATGAGGTATCTTAAACAGGAGGTCCTGGTAAGGAACACAGAACTAACAAGCTACCACCAACCACAAGAATTCAGCAAAGGTCAAAATGAGAGGGAAAGGACAGTGCATGTGTCCTACCAACCTCCCAGAATCCTCCTCACTGGAATCCATCTTGGCTGATGTGCACCACCAGTCCAGTCAGAGACAACTGAGAAATTAACCCCATCACCATAAAACCGAGACTGTGAGCATGTGGCAGAGCCGTTCTGGTTCCCTCACCCTGCTGCCCTCCACCCAGGTGCCCCTTCCCAATAAAGGCTCTTGCTTGGTCAGTTTGTGTGTCTCCACGGACAACTCTTCCGAGTGTTAGACAAGAGCCCACTCTCGGGCCCTGGAAGGGGTCCCCTTTCCTGTAACACTGGCATTCTCCCTGTGTGCATGTCTGCGTCCAAATCCCCCCCTTTATATAGACACCTGTCATGACGGATGAGGGGCCTGCCTGCCTCAGTTTGACATTATCTTAACCAGTTATTTCCAAATGAGGCCACATGCTGAGACACCTGGAGAAGAAAATGGCAGCCCACTCCAGTACTCTTGCCTGGAAAATCCCATGGATGGAGGAGCCTAGTAGGCTACAGTCCATGGGGTCGTGAAGAGTCGGACACGACTGAGCGACTTCACTTTCACTTTTCACTTTCATGCATTGGAGAAGGAAATGGCAGCCCACTCCAGTATTCTTGCCTGGAGAATCCCAGCGATGGGGGAGCCTGGTGGGCTGCCATCTATGGGGTTGCACAGAGTCGGACACGACTGAAGTGACTTAGCAGCAGCAGCTGAGACACTGGGGGTTCGCGCATCAAAGTACTTTTGTTGTTGAAGAGACAGAGCTCCCCTCCTAACACATAAATAACAGGAACTATACAAGACCTTGCAGAGCAGAGTTCGTTAAGAGCAGTAACTGTGGAAACAACCCTGGCCAGCAGCAACAGAACACACCGTGAGATCCACCCTGGGCGAGCTGGGTGGTGACGAACATGAGTGACCTACAGCTTGTGCAAGAGTGTGGATGGGTCTCTCACACAGCTAGGAGGGAGGAAGACATGAGCACATGCTGCTTCCCTTCCGCCTTCCCCTGCCCAAGTGGGCAGGATTCACAGTGGCCCAGACCAGGCATCAGAGCCTGTGTGGAGGAAGGCAGTGTGTCTAGAGTTGGGTAAGAGAGTCCAGTCGGGGTCAGGGTGGGGGTCGATGTCCACAGTGTGCTCCACCCGCTCAAGCACGTGAGGCCTGACATGGCGTCAGAGCCTCATAATATCCCGACAAAATACTTGTCCATTACAAAGGCTGAAGGGACTTCCCAGGGGAGATGCAGGCAGATACCACCTTAAACAAGTGGTCAGAGCAGAGTGACACGTGGCAACACTTCTGTGACCTTCCTGCCAAAGATGCGTAATGGGAATTTGATTTTGAAGAAACACCAGACAAATCCAAATGGAGGGGCTTTCCACAAAAGCCACTGGACTCTAACCTTCAAAGGCGTCAAGATCATGGAGCCAAGGAAAGCCTGATTGGAAGAGACTTAAGAAACACGTTAATAGCTCAGTGTGCTTGCGGAGCCCAGACTGGACCCTTTCTGATCTGTGACTTTATAGGATCAGCTGGCAGAAGGTGTTTGTCTATGGCCAATGATCAGATGTCCTGACATGTCTGAGTCACCCTCCTGACTCTGACGGTCATGTGTGGTTGTGCTGGAGACTGCTCTGACATGCAGAAATGTGAACGGAAGTGTCTGCAGGTGACAGAGCATCACATAGGCAACTTATTCTCAAATACTCCAGGAAGACAAGGTTGTTGATGCTGAACTTGCAACTTTTAGGTAAGTTCGAGATTATTTCAAAAATTAAAAAAGAATACAGTGTTATTCCATTTATATACATATATGGATTAAAACAGGTGAAACTTATATTGTTTAGAAATGGTAAAACTAAAGAAAATCAAGAAGTCAGGCTGTGGTCATGGGGAAGGGGGTCTGCTGTAGGGCAAGGGAGGGGTTGGGGCACTCGGGGTGCTGACAAGGTTCCATTTCTGGCCTTGGGCACTGGCTACTGATGCAGTACTGTAAATCCCCAGGCCAGCGTCTGCAGACAACTATCTGGGAATTCTCTCAACTGTCGTGACCTAGGCAGGCCCGCCCATCACCTAGTTCAGTACTTGGTTCACAGTGGATGTTCAAGGAGTGTTTGCCCGATACATAACGTGAGCACATAAAACGAGTATTTGTTTATGGAAAACAAAATAATAGAAGTTTCCAGAAACAGGCTAATCATTACAAACCAAACTGAGATGATCTCGGAATTCCTTCCTTGGCCCGGACTCTCTGGGTCCCTCTTCATCAGCGCGCTCGCCCTCGAGTTTTCCCAACGGTTTCCTAGATTTGCAAGGACAGCATAGCCAAGTCCGCCCGGAACCTGCACGGAGCCTGGAACCCAGGCTGCACCTGCACGCGGGGGTCCTTGAAACCGGCGGGGAAGGGGCCTGAAACCAATGGGGAAGGTCCAAACCGGCGAGGGGGTCACGAAACCTGTGGCGGGGCGGGGGGGGGGGGGTCCTGAAGCTCGCCGCGGGGACGAGGGGCAGCAGAAAGCGGCCCGGGGCCGTCCGAAGGCCCAGAAATCGGCCGGGGCGACCCCCTCACTAGGAGTTATTTCTCAGGCAAAACTTCCATGGCGGAGGTGATGATTTGTGCCTCGGAGGTGGCCATAGTTCCCAAGCCCAACCGCAGGCTCCGGGGCCAACAGACCCACCTGTCAGTGGCCCCACTGGGTCGGACCAGCGCAGGATCTGGGCGGAGAAGCTCCTCTGAGTCTGCTGGCGGCTCGGTTTGGAGCGGGTAGCTCCATGGCAACGGACGGCTCCATCGCAGGGCGGGGGTGTCCGCTCGCCCCCTTCCAAGGCGAAGGCTCGCCCCGGCGGCAACCCCGCGCAGGCGCAGTGCTGCCGAGGCTGCAAAGTGCAACCGGAGCGCCGGACGGACGGACGCTGGTACTCTGCTGGTGGTTACTGCCGGAGACCAGCGCCCTGGGCCGAGCACAGACCGCGAGCGGAGGGTCGCGGGGCACCTGGACTACCAGGCTGTGGCGGAGGAGACTGACGCTGCTTGGTAGTACGGATGCAGCCCTAGGCTGCTTCCTCTGGTTTGGCCCAAGCGGGTTGAAGAACGGATTAGTTGTTAATTTTAGTGACTGTAGAGTTCACGTAAAATAGAGGTTTCTCACTTCTCTTTTTGAGACCAGAGACCTGAAACAATATGCCACGCTGGGCTGGAGCTGAAGTGAGTCCTCCCTGCTCATTGTGCACGCCCCAGCCTTGTCTGGGGTCAGCGTGGTCCATTTCCTGTCCACACCCTGTCCCGAGGGTGTGTTTGCAGTCTGGACTGAGGGTGTGAGGAAGGTGTTGAGTCTTGCCCCAAAGCCACAGGTGCGAAGCCTCGCACCAAGGCCACAGAAGCGGAGCCCACGACCAAGGTCACCTCTGAAACTGACTGAACCCCTTTGTAACTTGCCCAAAGCCCCTGATGACCACTAAGGAGCTTCCTGACTCTCCATTAGGCAGATGCCCACTCTAGTAAGCACCCTATAGAGCCCCAACCAATCACTAAAGCTAACCGTCTAGCAGGAATTTTGCCTTGAGGCTATTAAAAATTGGTTATTAATCCAAGAAAACTGTCCGTTTTCCCTGTTTGTCAGGAGGTTCACATGCTGTGCTTGCAGTGCCCACATTATCTCTGCTCTTTGTTCTTAATAAACTGACTCCCTTCTGAAATGCTGTGTCTGGAAATTCCTTTCCAACATGCACTTGGACTACCTCAACAGAAGGATCCCTCTAGCCAGTGCAGTTGGTGCTGGGCCCTGGACCCCCGGCTGATGGGTATATTCCCTGCCCTCGCAGAGTCCAGTAACTTCTAGTGTGCCTGCACCTTGCTTGGCCGCTGGCCCTGCAGGTCAGTCGCTGGCTTTGTCCAGCGGCTCCTGATGCCACAGTGGGACCCAGGAAATCCTGTAGTTTCATCCTGGGATGGCAAGATCCGTCATAGCCATCCAGCCTGGTTAAAAGCGCAGCATCTCTGAGAACTGTGAACTTCATCGGGATAGTGGTCACCTCTGTAGTCCTCCCCCTGCAGTGCTGCCCAGACCTCGTCCCTCCTGGATTGAGGAACAGAACTGACTCAGCAGAACAGCCCAGAACAGATGTTCTAAGAAAAACTGTTCTCTTTCCCACCTCACCCAAATTATGGGGTTTTTCCTTTTCAGCTTTGCTTTTCTGGGCCTGTCCATATTAATGATTAATATACTTTCTACTAAAGAACAGGACAACAAAAGGCTGAAAACAGCCCCTGTGGCCACCAGTAGGAGCTGGTTGAGGTCCAGCTGCACTGCCAAAGGCTGGGAAAGGTACAAGGACTATTTCTGTGTTCTGCCCCGGAGTGACCCATGGGCAGAAGACATGGTTAAGGGGAAAACACTAAGATGCAGAAGAGCTGATACAGTATTTTATCCGAGAAGGGGCAGGGCCACTAAGAATGTACTCACTCTTTTTTTTTTTACATTATAAAGTAACATTACAATGGTTGCCAACCAGGCATAGGAGGGTCAGCAGTAGAAACAATGTTTCTCTAAATGTGCTCATACATTTGGCTTGGAACTGTGTAATTATAAAACCCAAAATAAATCAAAACAGAGAAAAAACCTCCCAAGATTTGCAAACAAATGGGTGTAAAAAGAAGAAACCAACTGTATGTCAGCTTGGTGGCTTAACCAACAGAAAAGGATAATTTCAAGTGACTTTAAAACCCAACAATCTTATTGTGCATACCTAATAGACTGTATACTAAAGACAAAAAGAGTTGCAAAGAAATCTTAAATTGTTTCCAGTGATCCTGGTCTTTGTAATAATATTAATGCTGTTATTCTGGAACTATATAAAGTGGGGTAAAACAAATAAGTAGCATAGTAATATTAGGAAACATTATTTTTCACTTGACAGAACAGATAGAAATATAAAATAAATGGAAAAACCTATACTGCTGGAATTGGATATGAAATATTAGTATGAATTAATATAATTTGTAAAATGTATTTCTTAGCTTTGCCCACTGAAATTGTCTAGAACTATTTAATATGGTACCCACTGGACACATGTGGCTATTTAAATTTAACTGAATTAAAATTAAACACTTGGACAAATATTTCTACACTTATGTTCACAAAAGCACTACACATATCACAATAGCCAGAAGCTGGAAACAACCCAAATGTCCATCAATGGATGGCTATAATGTGATAAATATATTAAAATTAAATGTGATAGATATATATGGTGGAATGTTACTAAGCCTTTTGAAAAGAATGAAATTCTGACACCTGCTACAACATGGGTGAACCTCCAAGATGTGATGATAAGGGAAACAAGGCAGTCACAAAAGAACAAGTATTATTTGTTTTCACTCATATGAGCTACACAGTCAAGTTTACAGAGACAGAAAGAAGACTATGGTTGTCAGGAATGGAGTTAGGGTGGTGAAGTCTGGGGTGAATGTTTAGCGGTGACAGAGTTTCAGTCTGGAAAGATGAAAAGGTTCTGGAGGCAGACGGTGGTGATGGCTGCACCACAAAGTGAATGCACTTTCTGCTGCTGAACTGTACACTTAAAAATGGGCACAGGGGTAGTTTTAGGTTTTGTACATTTTACCTCTTTTTTTTTTTTTTTTGGCCATGTCTGGTACTAGTGGTAAATAATCCACCTGCCAATGCAGGAGATGCAAGAAATGTGGGTCTGATCCTTGGGTTGGGAAGATCCCCTGGAGAAGGAAACAGAAACCCACTCCTGTATTCTTGCCTGGAAAGTCCCATGGACAGAGGAGCTTGGCGGGTTACAGTCCATGGGGATGCAAACAGTGGGACACAACTGAGCGACTAACACATGCATGTTATGGAATCTTAGCTCCCTGAGCAGGGATTGAAAAAGAAATGCAAAATTTCTTTTTTTTTTTTTTTGCAAAAAAAGGGATCAAAAAAGAAAATGCAAGGGAACATTTCATGCAAAGATGGGCACAATAAAGGACAGAAATGGTATGGACCTAACAGAAGCAGAAGATATTAAGAAGAGGTGGCAAGAATACAAGAAGAACTATACAAAAAAGATCTTCATGACCCAGATAACCACGATGGGATGATCACTCACCTAGAGCCAGACATCCTGGAATGTGAAGTCAAGTGGACCTTAGGAAGCATCACTACGAACAAAGCTAGTGGAAGTGATGGAATGCCAGTTGAACTATTTCCAATCCTAAAAGATGATGCTGTGAAAGTGCTGCACTCAGTATGCGAGCAAATTTGAAAAACTCAGCAGTGGCCACAGGACTGGAAAAGGGCAGTTTTCATTCCAATCCCAAAGAAAGGCAATGCCAAAGAATGTTCAAACTACCGCACAACTGCACTCATCTCACATGCTAGTAAAGTGATGCTCAAAATTCTCCAAGCCAGGCTTCAACAGTACATGAACTGTGAACTTCCAGATGTTCAAGCTGGTTTTAGAAAAGGCAGAGGAACCAGAGATCAAATTGCCAACATCTGTTGGATCATCGAAAAAGCAACAGAGTTCCAGAAAAATATCTACTTCTGCTTTATTGACTATGCCAAAGCCTTTGACTGTGTGGATCACAACAAACTGTGGAAAATTCTTAAAGAGATGGGAATACCAGACCACTGTACATGCCTTCTGAGAAATCTGTATGTAGGTCAAGAAGCAACAGTTAGAACTGGACATGGAACAATAGACTGGTTCCAAATCAGGAAAGAAGTATGTCAAGGCTGTATATTGTCACCACATGTGTCCCACATGCCTGCTGCCAAAAGCCAAAACATAAAACGGAAGCAGTATTGTAACAAACTTAGTAAAGACTTTAAAAATGGTCCACATCAAAAAAATCTAAAAAAGGAATTTATTTTTATTTATTTATCTGTGCCAGCTCATAATTGCAGCATGTGGGATCTAGTTCCCTGGCCAGGGATGGAACCAGGGCCCCTTACATTGTGAATGCAGATTCTTAGCTACTAGACCACCAGGGAAGTCACTGTAAACTCTATTTCAATAAAGTTGACTGGAAATAAAACAAACCTAGATAACAGTCTGCATCTACTGGACCACACGTGACCTGGCTTCTGCCTACCTTGCTCCACACTCCTCACTCCCTCCCTCCTTCCCAGACCCACTGGCCTGGCCTTGCTCCTGCCTCATGGTTTTGCACATTCCATTCTCTGCCCAGAACACTTACCTGGCTCTGGATGGGGCTGCCTTTTCCTCCAGAAGGGACAGAATAGAATCCAAGCCTCAATTCAGATGCTACCCCTCAGGATGGTCCTCCCTGTCTGGACTGCCTACCCTCCTCATTACTTTTATCATTCTCCTCATTATTTTTATCTTTCTGAGATTCCTTCCCAGCATGCATTATACTTGAAATGATCTCTTTTGTCTGTTTTGTTGTTGTTGTTCAATCACTAAGTCATGTCCAACTCTTTGGGACCCCATGGACTGCAGCACACCAGGCTTCCCTGTCTTTCACTATCTCTCAGAGCTTGCTCAAACTCATGTCCATTGAGTCAGTGATGCCATCCAAACATATCATCTTCCGTCACCCCCTTCTTCTCCCACCCTCAATCTTTCCCAGCATCAGGGTCTTTTCCAGTGAGTCAGCTCTTCTCATCAAGTGGCCAAAATATTTGAGCTTCAGCTTCAGCATCAGTCCTTCCAATGAATATTCAGGATTGATTTCCTTTAGGATTGACTGGTTTGATCTCTTTGCTGTCCAAGGGACCCTCAAGAGTCTTCTCCAGCACCACAATTTGAAAGCATCAGTTCTTTGGCACTCAGCCTTCTTTATGGTCCAACTCTCACACCCGTACATGACTACTGGAAACACCAAAGCTTTGACTATACGGACCTTTGTTGGCAAAGTAATGTCTCTGCTTTTTGATACACCATTTGGGTTTGTCGTAGCTTGTTTGTTTATTCACGATTGTCCCTGTTCTTCCTCCTAGAAGGCGAGGCCACTAAAGGCAGGGACCTTTTAAATCTTATTCAGATCCAACATCTAGACCAGTATTTCACAGAGTCAGATGAATAATTCCTTAAATGGTTAAATGTTGGTTAAATGAATATTGACCTGTGTTGGGGCCTTTCTTGAGGAAGTTTAATCAAAGCATCCATATATCAAGTTTGAAAAAGATTACAAAAAAAAAAAAGATTACAGCAAACTTCCTGCTTTTATTTCTCCAACATCCTACCCAGGGGATCAGCATGTCAGAGCAGAGAGAGGCTCAGGGAGCTAGGTCGACTTCCTCAGACAGTCTGGGGAGCACGGCTGCCTGACATTTGAGACACTCTGCCAGCAGCCCGGTCAGGACTTTCACATTGCTGTGCCGTGCTAAGTTGCCTCAGTTGTGCCCAACTCTGTGTGACCCTATGGTAGCCTGCCAGGCTCCTCCGTCCATGGGATTCTCCCGGCAAGAATATTGGAGTGGGTTGCCATGCCCTTCTCCAGGGTTTCTTCCCGATCCAGGGATCAAGCCAGCCTGTATTATGTCTAACCTGCATTGGCAGACGGGTTCCTTACCACTAGCGCCACCTGGGAAGCCCTTGATTCAGTCTTGCTGGCCCCTAAAGCTGAGTCTCACCTGATAGGCAGACCTTTGTCAGTGGTGTTAATCTGTGTTTAGTGTTTTACATCAGGTGAAAGAATCATCACTTTAAAAAACATAAAGTAGGAAAATAGAATTCTGACTTTTCCTCACTACATGTGAGCAATTGTACTTGGACATCTATTTATCTTGTGGAGAAAAAATTCCCTAAATGGCCAAGTTTGATCACTTATTGGTCTTCAGGGCCTCGATGACTAAAAGCAGCCATGAAACCCAGCTCCCTCTCGCATCCTTTGTTTGAGTAGACATTGATCTCAGGCTGCTGCAAGGATTTTGCATGTGGTCCTTTCTGCCAAGTAGTCTCTGCTTCTCCAAATGAATGAATTCCATCTGGAAATCATGGAATTAATAATTACACTCTAAGCTCAGGAATATTTTTCTGTGTCACTGTCATCTCCTCTGTTTGGTGCATTTTCCCAGGAAAATAATAAAACAGCGTCACCAATGTATCAAGCAGGGATTTTAAAATTAGCAAGTACAGTCTCCCCTCCCGGGTCCCCATGACTCACCTCTACCTCCTGGGGCCCATCCTGCTGCTGCAAGGGACTCAGGCCAACTCTCTGCCCAAGCTCTGGACTCGGTGCCATGGCTTCCCAGATATTGAGAGCAAACAGCAAAGCCATCACCCCAAAGGACAGGGCAAAACAGGAGCTGGCTGAGGATCTCAAGAGTCAAGCAGACCCCAAACCACACTTCCCAGTTCCCTAGACACTACCCGTGGTCTTGTTACCCAGAGAAGTGTCGAGTTGGTGACCCTGGGGCAACCACGGAAGCAGAGTTTCCACACCTTCTAGGGCCAAGTGTGTGATGCCCCGCTCAGCACCATATGGGGAGAACAGAACGCCTCCCTGCACGGAACAGGAGGGAGGGACCAAAGCTGACACCCTGAACCTGTAACCAGAGCGCTCTGCATGCATCATGCAGCCGAGAAGCTGCCGTGTTACCTGTGAAATAAGAGGAAGGGGAGAGTGTGGGTGAGTTAACTAGACCCACAGGGACCACAGGCCTCACCATTTGGGCTTCCTGTTTATTCCTGTCTGCAGGCATGGACACCAGGTCCCTGACTGTGGTCTTGGTATCCAGACACAGGGGTGGGACCATCACGTATCTGGGCGAAGAGCACAGACCAAACCTGAAGTGGACAGAGGCCCTTCATCTAACTGATTTGGAAAGTTTCAGCACAGTCAGACATGCTGTGTGGAGTTCTACTTCCCCCTTAAAAAAAAAGTCACAGAGTGAATAAAGATGGGGAGACCCTATACTATTTTCCAGAGAAGGTGGGAGAGCCTGAGCACATACAAATTAGACCTCTGTCTTTAGTGAAGACAGTCCATTTCTTGGTAACCGGTTCAGCCATGTGGACCTGTGCTCAGGACACCCATCGCTGAGCAGCCCCTCCTTCAGCAAATGAATAAAACAAAGCCAGGAGAAGTTACTCCCTGAGGCCACACAGCCAGTTAGGAGCAGGACTGGGACTAGTTCCCAGACCTCTGACTTGAGGTCATTTCCTGAATTATCAAAATGGGGGGAGAAGTGGACTGTTAGCACTTCCCTGGGGCTTGCCTCAGCAGGAGGCCGACCACCCAGCACTGAGGTCCTGGCTTCCTGACCTTTGGTGGGGCTGCCTGAACAGGTTTACTCATCTTGGGGTGTCTGGAGCTTGTCTGGGTGAAGCAGAAGATGAGGCTGGGGAGACCAACAGGGGGCACATCATGGGCTGTGACTGAGGTTCGGGAGAGTGACTAAGTGATTCTTGAGGAAGGAACAATGAAGCTTCTCCTTCTTGAGATCCAAGATGAAGCCAATTAGGGGCCAAGTAGAACTGGAATAAAGCTTGTAGACTCTGGGGGAGAAATTTTGATTTAAGGTCAGTGAACAGCGGGCACCCCAGGAGGAGGCGGGAGGGAGGTGTGGTGTCATGGGGCCTGCAGGCGTGCTGGGCACTGCTTGACCTCTTTCTCTAGTCCTGGCTTTGAGTCCTGCTTCCTCTGGGGCTCGAGGAAGAAAAGGCAATTGCTCTTTATTTTGTTGTTGTTATTTTTTAGACTGCACCATGCACTCCAGTAGCTTCCCTAGTGGCTCAGACGGTAAAGAATCTGCCTGCAGTGCAGGAGACCCGGGTTTGATCCCTGGGTTGGGAAGATCCTCTAAAGAAGGGAATGACAACCCACTGCAGTATTCTTACCTGGGAAATTCCATGGACAGAGGAGCCTGGTGGGCTACAGTTCATGGGGTCACTAAGAGTCGGACATGATTGAAGCGGCTTAACACACACATACACGCAGCATGTGCGATCTTGTCCCTCCACCAGGGAAGAATCCCCCAACCAATGCACTGGGAGCATAGACTCCTAACCAGTGGACTGCCAGGGAAGTCCCAGAAGAGATGCTGCCCAGCACCCTGAGCTACAGCTGAGACACCCGTGCAGGGAGTTCTCCAGGGAAAGCTCAGTATTAATGTTATGCCTCAGATAATAGAGGAGCATGTAGAAAACTGCAATAATCTGGTTCACTCTGAACCAACTGAATCAGGTGATTCAAGGTCAGCAATATTTCTCAGAGGCCCTCAGCAGCTGGATCTTCTCAGATCCAAGAAAAGAGTGTGACAGGATAGATGACCAGTGCAAGTTCAATGCATGAAGCAGGGCACCCAAAGCCGGTGCTCTGGAACAACCCAAAGGGACAGGGTGGGGAGAGTGGGAGAGGGGTTCAGGATGGGGGGGACACATGTATACCTGTGGCCGATTCATGTTGATGTACGGCAAAAACCATCACAATATTGTAGAGTAATTATCTTCCAATTAAAAAAAAAAAGAAAAGGAGGCCAAGCACAAGAGCCAGAGCCTGGACTAGCACGGAGACCAGAACTTGGCGCCATGCAGCCCTGAGCAGGTCTGACCACATCTGCTGTGCTGGCTGTCCTTGACTCTGAGCCTAAATTTTCCCACAGTTATTAAGCACCTATCCTAACAGAGGCTGTTAGACCCAAGGGCTGCTTTGAAGAAGCAGACAGACAAGATCTCTATCCAGAGGAGGAATAAGGAAAAGGATCCACTCTCCACACTTTCTCTTGGATTAATTTCTCAACTTCCCATCAGGCCTGTGGGAGGACATGTGGGAATGTGTCCAGAGAAGCACCCAGGACACATAACAGACACAGTAGGGCAGCACTTCCAGGTCCCAGAAGATCCTCCCAAGAGGCGGGGTTGGGGGGCAGGGAGAGGCATTTATGCTGGGACCTTCCTGCCTGTCTTAGGTCTGGGTGACTTTAAGAAAGAAAGCTGGGGTGGTGGGGGGAAGGGGGCGGCGGGGAGAAAGCTGAGTGGGTCTCAACTTTGATCCGTGGCCCTCAGGACTGGAAATTCCCAGCAATGAAGACTTTTCTACCTACTCCACCCCCACTCAGGCCAGACGTCCACAGTCACTCACAGGACCCAACTCACTGCCAGACCAGTTTGCCCAGTTTTAAGATGAGGTGGTTGGACGGCATCACCAACTTGATGGACATGAGTCTGAGAAAGTTCTGGGAGTTGCTGATGGACAGAGAAGTTGGTGACGGACAGTGCTGCAAGTCCATGGGGTCGCAAAGAGTCCGACACGACTGAGTGGCTGAACTGCACGAGACGCTCACTTTCGGATGTCAGATGATATTCAGCCCAGAAGTTAATGGACGAGACCAAACCATTAAAATCTGTGGTCAGCTTTTGGGGGAAACTGCAGAGCTTTATGTTGAGAAGAGTCATCCTTGAGAATTCGAGGCCTTGGCCTTCTCATCAGGTCCGTGGGGGTGGGGGTGGGGGTGGGGATGGGGTGGGGTGGGATGGGGGCGTCATCTCGTCAGAGCCGGGCCTTCTGCTTGCCCTCGGCATGTGGGCAGGTGTGGTGGAGCTTGGCCTGGCCAGGCGGAGAAGTCCTTGCGTCCGGCGACTAGCGCGGGGTTCTGACTGCAGAACCGCGGGCAGCGGAACGGCAGCACGGCCACCCTCGCTCCGCTCACCGCCCACCCAGCCTAGGTGGGCGAGGCGCGGGCCTGAGGGTTTTGGAAGGAGCTGCGCGTGTTGGGGGTAGGTATCTCGTCCGGTGGAAGGTGGAGGCTTCTGAGGCGCTGGAACCCTCGTCACCCCGAACCTGCTCCCGGGGGCCGTGACCCCACGAATAGTCGACCTCCAACTTTTCCCAGGGCGGAGGTCCGGCCGCGCCCGTCGGTCCCCAGGCATCTGGCCGGCAGCGGGAGGTCGCGTCCACGCGGTCTTTCGCCTGGGTCGCCTCCGGATAGACGCGCGGAGGGACTGTTTGTGGTCGGCAAGGGCAGTGGCGACCGGACGGGGCGTGCCAGACCCCCCGGGGGACCGCGGCCCTCGGAAAGGGGCTGGCAGAGGGGGTGGGGCGCGGCAGGCGGGGCGGCCCGAGTTGGGGGGCGGGGCGGCCGGCGCGGGGGGCGCGGCCCGGTTCGGGGCGGGGCGGCTCCGGGTTCCGCGCTCCGTCCGCCCTCGCTCCCGCGCCGCGCGCCCTCCCGCTCCCACCAGCCTGTGCCGCCACCGCGGCAGCCGGCGAAGCAACTTCCCGAGCGCCCGCGACCGCCGGACCCCGGCGCCGCCCCCGGCCCAGCGCACCGCCGGCCGAGGCCATGGACGCGCTGGCCTGGCTGCTGCCCCCGCTCCTGCTGCTCTGCGCGCAGCACCGAGGCGCCAGGTGAGCGAGAGCCGGTCCTCCCTGCGGCCGCCCTCGGTGCGGATCCCGCGCCGCCGCGCCCGGGCTGAGAGATGGGGCCCCGCGCGAAACCTGGTCTTCAGGGCCCCGGTCTGTCCCCCGCCCACCGGTTCCCACCGTGTCTGCCCCCATCCCCTCCTGCACGACTCCCCGCGCCGGCCCTCCTCTCTCCAAACTCGCCGCGACGATGCCCTTGGGCGCGGGCAGCGGCGTGTTCTAGGTTCTGGCTGCCCCGGTGCTGTCCGCCGTCCCGGTGCTGAACCCGGCCGCGGGGCCGGTCGAGGGCGTCACAGCAGCTCTCCGTTCCTCCCCAGCCGGGGCTCTCCTGCTGAGCTCGGGTTCCTCGGCCCCGGCCGCCACTTGGCCGGTCCCTGGCTGGCTGTTGTCCTTCCAGGCGCGGCTTGAGCGCTCAGCATGGAAGAAAGGAGGGATCCTGAGAACACGGGGAGCAGGTTGTGCTCCTTCTCCTGACAGCATCGCTCCCGCAGCAGCTTCCGTGCAGCTAGCAGTCTGGGGTGGACACGAAGGCGCGTCCTGATAGCGGGTCTGGTTGTGGGTCTCCCTTCTGGGGCCATTTCAAATGCCACCCAACTCTAGAGCATGCGAGCGGGAGAGCCAGGTGCCCCTGGCAGGAAAGAGACCAGATTTCTCCTTAATTCTGTCAGGAGAGCAGATGAGGTGCCCTGTCTGCCCTAGAGAGGGAAGCGGCTAAGAAGAAAGGTCCCTGTGCTGAGGCTCCCTCACTGGCTCCCAGGGCCAGTGCAGTCCCAGCTCGCTTTTTGCATCTCTGCAGGCTGGACTTGATGTGGGCCCCGGGTCACCCAGTGTCCTGAGCACTGAGTCTGGTCACCTTTGAGGGGCCTTTTTGAAAATCAGCTGGGTACAAGGGCTGCAGAAAAAGCAGGGCAAAGCCAGCTCTCCCCACCCCTTTCTCCAGCATTCCAGACTTCATGGTCAACCAGCTGATGCCCCAGACTTTAAAAGCTAGAAATGGTTGAATGCTGACCTGTGTTTTGGCTGTAGGTGCTCCGTCAACATGTAGCATGACTCTGTGTGTGTGTGGTCACACCTTCCTTGTTGGTGGGTAGGCATAGAGTCAGGAGGGCCTGGGTCTGGCTGGAGAGGCGGACATCCTGCTGAGGTCACAGGCAGTGCTGATGTGGCCCCTGTCCCATGCCTTGTTTTTATCAAGCCCGATGGGCCGTTCTCCTCTCTCTTCTCCCGTTTCATGGTCCCAGGAAGGACAAAGTGTCCTGGTGTGGCCATGGGCAGATGTGCTGGGAGCTGGGTGGGGTCAGCTGCTGGCTCAAGCCCTCAGTCTTGTAGCCCCAGTTCTGAAATACAAGCTGCTCTGAACTCCCAAGTCTTTACCCAAGTTTGACACCAAAACTCACCTGGCAGCAAAGCCTGCCCTGCTCATTTTGTCTTTATTCATGCTACTCATGGGGCATATTTACATGTTTCCTGCTGGAAAATTCTCCAAACACCTCTTTCCCCCAACCAAATCCATAAGTGCCTCATATCGCCCTTCACCAGTGTTCTGAACTCTGGCCCCATCTGGATCCTCGGTTGTGGGGTGAGGGGGACCTGTCTGCCTGCAGGAAGGCTGAGGCCCCAGTTGGGACGAGAACCTCCAGGCTTTGGGGGCCTTCGTCCATTCAGGCCTCCTTTCCCATCTGCTCTGTGTCCCTCCGCTTGAAAACCAGAGGAACAGTAACCTCACTTCCTTCGTCACCTCCTCCCACTGGGGCAGTGTGGGGGTGGGCCGTGGGGCTGAGGGAAGGCCCTCTCGGCTGCAGCTACTAAGCCAGATCCCAGGGTTTCTGGTGGGATGAGCAGGGGGTGAGCCTCACAGACTTTGTGTGTTGGGTCAAGGCCGTGCGTCCCTGAGTTTGAAGGTCGGCTCACACAGCGGCCACCCAAGCTTGCCGGCTGCACACCTGAGTGGGTGGCCTCCCCAGCTGCTGGCACCTCCGTCTCCCTGGAGAAGCTGCGCCTGCGGCTCCTGCCCGCCTTCACCTCCCGTGTGAGCATTGTGGTGTTTGCCTTGGTAACTGAGGTGCCAGCACGGTGGTGGCTGCTCTAGAAGCAGAGCTTTCAGGGATCTGTGGGCTCTCATGTGCACGGGGGAGGCTCCTGGGGGGGCACCTGCCGCCTTGCTCAGCTACGCCCACCTTCCCTTCCAGTCCCCAGGGACCCAGGCAAGTGACGGGCTGGGCTCTCTCTCAGGAGAGAGGAGAGGAGAGTGAGGCCAGGATTGGGCGGGGCCTGGCTACAGCAGGGGTGGCCAGGGTGGAAGCTGCCTGTGATTTCAAGGCACCTGCTTCGTTCAGGAGCTTGAGCCTGACATGTCTCTGAGCTCTAGGCCAGTGCTGGCCAGACCCCTTCACAGGATAAGGTCGATGCCCCCGCTTTCTAACTCCATGCAGAGCTCCCCCCAGTGGAGCCAGTTCCTGGCCCACCCCCACTGCCTCTGCCAGAACCAGTGACGGTGGGCGGGGTCCTCCAGGACTCAGAGCAGCATGGCCCTCAGGCCGCCCCAGCCCCAGCATCCCTTCACAGCTGCCAAAACAGCCATCCTCATCCCAGGTGGGATGTGACCCAGGGGAGCCTGCTCCCTTCTCGCCCCTGGAGACGGCAGAGGCTGACTGGGGTCCTGACACCTTCTGGTGAGCTTCAGGGGGGTGCTGCCCTTGACCTTGCCTCTGTGCCCCTGAGTGGATGTGGGGGCCCTGGCCAAGGGCAGGTGTATCCACATGTGTGTCAGCCTGAGCTCAGGAAGGATGGCGTCTCCTAACAGCCCGGCTGCAGGTAGGCCAGTCACTGCATAAGATGGCATCTGGGCTGGTCCACAAATAAAGCCTTGTTCAATCCCTTCACATCCGACCTTCAGGGTGACCTCCATTTGCATTTTTAATTGTGCTCTACTAGGGATTAGGGCTTCAGTTAATTCTGTCTTTTACTTTGTCACCAAAGAACCTGCCCTGTCCACACGCCCCACCCAGCCTTGCCTGGAGGGACCCCATGGGCCTGCAGGGTGGGGCAGGCTTCTCAGGGCTCACTAGCTGAGGTCCTCCTGTCATGGTCAGCCTCTGCATAGGCACCCGGCCTGGTGCTTCCCAAGCCCCTGGCAGCCCCCAGGGGTTCTTGAGCCCGCCTGTGTGGATGGCTTCAGGGCTGGTCCAGCGGGTTGCTCAGCCCCACCGACTGCAGCGGAGCTTGCTCCTGGCCCTTCTCTTCCCACCACCCCCTAGTTGGTCTGGACTAGGCCCCTTCCTGTCTCCACAGCCTGGTCAACCCAGCCCAGCTTCCCACACCTCCACGACAGCCCCCAGTTTATCCCCAGGACACTCCCCAGCCCCTCCCTCACCAGTACCAGTTCCCCACCTCCGGCCCCCCATCCTCCCCTCTCCACTCTCTGCCCAATGCCTCCTGCTGCCCTCCAGGCCCCTCCCAGGGCCCCCCATGCGGAGTCCTTGCCTGCCTCCCACCTCTTCCTGTCCCTGAGACTCCCATTCTCTCTCTTTGGGCTCTGATGTCATTATTCCCAGGGGGCCGGTGAGGGGTGGCTGTCCCTGCCTCCCCAGCCAGAGGACTCCTGACCTCACCTTTCAGTGACTCTGTTCACACTCACCGCCCTCGAGTTGTCACCCCTCACAGACACTGCCGTGTTGGGCTTGGCCCACAATTGACCTTGCCTGGCTCAGCCACATCCCTGGAGTAGGGCGGCACTGAGGGTCTTGCCTGCCAGATGAAGGGTGGATGAATACAGGAGTAACCAGGCAGCTTCCTGCAGGGCCAAGAGCAGGACCAGGAGAGGGATGGGGTCAGTGGAGGTGGGGGGAGTCAGCTTGAAGACGTGGGTGTGGTCAGAGTTAGGGCTGGAGAAAGGAGGGTGGCCAGAGGGCAAGGTCTGGAGGGTGAAGCAGGCTTCTAAGAGGGGAGATGGGAGAGGCGAGTCAGGAAGCACTGCAGCCTGGGGGTGCTGGGGTGAGGCCAGAGCTGGGAGGGGTGGGGAGCAGCCCCGAGGGGGCCAGTGGGGCCAGGTGTCTCCTCAAGGTGGCCAGAAGGGCCCAGAGTGGGGACCTGGGCATGCGGCCACACCTGACTCGGGGACAGGGAGGAACAGCCTCAAGGTTCCTTGCAACCCTCATCCAGAACTGGCTGGTCATGTCCCCTCTCCCGTGGGCAGTGGCCAGGCTCTGGCCAAGGTGACCTGGAGGCCTTCTCTGCTCAAGGGGATGGAAGTGACTCAGGGGGAAACTCAAGGGTGGCTCCTAAATGTCCCTTCTCCTTCTCACTGTACGGTTTAGGAGAAATGCCCCTCCCCCACGGTGGGCCGGAAGAGGAAAGGAGTGTGAGGGTCCCACATCTGCTGTAACAGTGGCTGCAAGCTGGGGGATGTAACAGGAATTTATCCTCCAGTAATTCTGGGGCTGGAAGTCTGAAGCCAAGATTTTGACAGGGCTGGGAGAGTCTGTCCATGCCTCTCCCCAGCCCCTGGGAA